CAAATCTATTCCAGATCATCCTCAGTGCTTCGTTTCTGGTGATATCTGCATCGAGACTCGTCACAATGAAGGTGAACCTCTCGAGGCGTAGAAGGCGCATCGAAGTGCAGACAGTCTGTGCGTTGCCAGGACGGCAGCTGAGATGTGTTACGCGCCGAGGACTTGCGCATGCCGTGACTGAGGGCTTGCGTCGTCGGCCTTTGATGTTCCACGTTCGCGGCGTGATTGGAAGAAGGACGAGCCCGGGAAGTGGAAGGTCCTGTCCACGGCCTCCAGCATCCTGACACCAACGGGTAAGGCAGCTCCCAGCTAGCAATTAGTAGTTTCGAGAATTGAAGTTCGGCTTTAATTTGTACGTGTGCCCGCATGTACAATCCTCACAACAGCTACGCAGTTACAATTACAAGTAGCTGGCAGGAGGCGCAATGGCTTCTAAGGCCCGTGGGTGGGCGGGCGCCTGGAAGCTTCGCATCGCTTGGGCTTTTTCCCCTTTGGTGCACGGGCGATACAAGTGTAGCTGGAGGAAGCGCTTAGCCAGGGTTAAGTTCGCAGCTGTGATTGGCCGTCTTCTGTCGTTTGCTGCCTCGACAGAGGCTAAGACTAAGAGCGACTTATGGGCCTTGGTCAGGGACTTCGGAGCTAGGCCGCGGAGTGATTGGGGGTAGAGGTAGTATGTGGCTACCAGGGAGCTTTTATGTAAGTATACTTGGTAGCTGAGCAGGCAAACCGCACACACTGTTGGAATGCTACCATCCAAGGTTGAAAGTTATTCTTTAAGCCAATGCGCCCAGCACCAAGTATCAATCATGCAGTGTAGCATTAATACTTGTTTGGCTGTTGTTTGGCTTTGAGTAATTTGTATTGCCTTGTGTTTGGCATGCTAGTCTTTGCTCAGCAAAGGTTGATTAGTTGAACTGAATCGCATCCATCATGCTCCGTGAAATCGTCGGACTCGAGGGCACACGACAGCCAGAGCGACCGATTGTCGTGAGTGTCCTTGACCAAGAGTCCCTGCATGCCTCAGCCCCAACAGCCCTCTTGAATCCGCAACGCGAACGCAACATCCTCGAGCTCACCAGCAATATGCAATGACCCTTCAGAAGCCCTTGCCTAGCAGCCGTACTTGCTGGGAAGGGAGACACGAAGCCTGGCTTTCTTTGTCCGGCTTACGACCCGGTCGGGAGCTCGTTGAGTGTTGTGAGTCACAGCAGAAAGTCTCGGGGTTCCAAGGGTGTGAGAGCTCTGAAATTCCATTTCGACTTCACGGTGTGTGCAACGTGCCCACATAAAACAAGCCCAAAACATGATGGGGTGCGCCACAAGTTGTAGCAGTTTCATATTACCCGCACCTTTGCAAAATCTTTCAGCTGTGCTTGCATGCACGCACATGCACACAGCATTGCATGCAGAGGCACGCAGCCACCCACAGACAGACAAACACACACACACACACAAGCACAAGCCTACAGATCCATCCATCCATCCAACTATCCATCCATCCATTCATCCATCGGTCGATACATCCATACGTCCAATAGATCCACACATCCGTACGTTGTTACATCCATCCATACTTCCATATGTAGATCCATACATCATCCATCCATACACGCATGCATGCATGCATGTGTACATGTACATACATACATACATACATACATACATACATACATACATACACACATACACACATACACACATACACACATGCACGCGCATGCACACAAAGCATACGAAAGTGCTATGTACGGCTGCAATCGTGTTGACAAGCAGAGACACGGTGCGGAATATGCCGCCAAGGAGGAATTCTAGCCTATTCTTGCAACCGTGAAGGGGCCATGGTTGAGGCGCTCAAAAAGTCACTCCGGTGTCAGCTGAACCACATCCCAAACAAACTGTCTGCAAAACTTTACCCGCACCCAAATCAACGGCTCAGAAAAAGTTTACCTGCATTGGACAAGCACTCAGCGACACAAGACCAACGGAAAGACCTCTGGAGGTGGAACTTTCGCACCGATAATTCCCCCCAGCGTGTCTTGATACCATCTCCGATTCTGAACCGAGCTACCCCAGGATCGACCAAACCATACCTTGTCAGTCTTGCCGAAATGCCTCCTCACATCCACAATCCTTCTTTGCAGCATCTTCCGTGCGCAAGTATCTGGTCCGTGATACATCTCCACAATACCTTTTGTTCCCACTGCCTGGGCTTCTTCGTCCCCTTGACTCAGCAGCGCCAAGCTCTTTGTGTCGCCCTGCTTCGCTCCCTCATCTCTTCACGCGACCGGAAGAGTCCTCAAGGCCTCCTCGCCGGTCTCTGCCGGACGGCCGCCCAGGCAGGATTGGGTTATTTGCCCCGTGAACTCTAGTAGCGTTTGAAGGTGAAGATGGGCGAAGGGGTCATGGATCAAGGCTGCATTCTGGGGTTGGCGACGTCAAGGTTTAGTTGATGTTAAGGTGGCTTTGGTGGCTTGGGTGAGGTTGCAGACTGTCTTCCTGCAGTGTGGGGTTTATTGATCTGAATGCTAGACGGGGTTTTCAGTGTGGTGCTTGTTCGGTGATTTGGGGCTCGCATGGCCTCAGGCCAGGACATCACCCCGACTAGCTCCGGCAGAAGCAGAAGCAGCAGCAGCACCCGCGCAGCACCAGAACTGCATAGCACCATCCGTGATATGATCCTCCAGAAATGCGAGCTTGCCTTCGGGTCGAGTTAGGTTCAAAAAACAGTTAGATGGCTTTGATGCTCTGGCTGGAACAGAGGGTGTGATGCAAGATTGTAGAGGTCTGGACTCTACGCCTCTACACGGTCTATATATCGGGATTTTGGTCGGACTCAGGCCTCCCGGTGAGGATGGGCCTGCAGAGAGCGTGGAGACCCAGGGGGAGAGAGCCCGCGTTCCTGAGTCCCGAGTCGGAAACCCACAGATCCAATCCCCCTCTTGTGAAACCATAGAGCCAAAAAACCAAGACTCGGACTGGGCTTACCTCCTGGCTCGGATTGGTGAGAGGATTGCAGGGTCTGCTGGGCAAAACTAGGGCACACATGCCGCTCCAGAGTTAAAAGGCAGCGATTGTCAACTCTGAGCTCCAACAGCCTCTGTTCCAAGGGTCACAGGATACTCCTTGCATTTCGCCCGGACTGCTTTCCCTACAGGTCCTTCCCTTTTCGCCACGAGCGAGACCACCTGAACTGTGACACAGACGTTCCAGAGCGGAACGAGGTAGCCAAGCTCCTTCGGTAGAGAAGCAAACACATTTTCAGAAGAATCGGTGCCGAGGTACCGTCCGAAGCTCGCCCGAGCCACCGCCGCGAGGCCTTGGAGAGAGAAGCGGGTCCTTCGAGTTTCGCATCCGGGAGATCCGCCAACCTTTGGATAACGTCATTCAATGCACTTCACTGCTCGCAGTTCGCATCTCCTCCGATGTCTTCGATGTTTGCGAGATGTTTGTTCATCCTTGCTCGCCTGAGCTTACAAATGCCGTAGCGGTAGCAGATGCAAGCAGAATCCGAGAGTTTAGCATCGAAAAGACAAGCCTCATTAGACCCGTCGCCAAAGGACTCGAGTCATAAAGGACCAACAAAGCCGCACAGATGCACCTTCGAGTACTGGTATTACCTACTTTACAGGCTTTCCTCAAGAGATGCATCCCGTGTTGCCAAAACCGTGGTGCTCGGAGCACTGCCTGTCAGCTCCAAACTAGACTGGAGCCCGAGCGATGATTTGCATCTTCACGCTTAGCACGACGAAGCTCATGGTCAGTCCATGAAAAGCAGTTCTCAGTAAGTGCAGTGCGATGTGACCGTAAGGGTGCCCTGCCCTGGTCCCAAAAGAGGGCTGCTGGGAAATCACAGAAGCTCTCTCTCTCTCTCTTTTCAGCATACTCGGGTGGTACAGCAGGACGCCCTAAAACGCGTAAGCAAAAATGACGAAGCGTCTCACGCCAGCACCGACCTCGGCGCGCGGAGCCTCGCCCTCGCCACTACAAAGGAGGTGGGCCGGGCTCCATTGCGGGGGGATCGGGAATAAGCTTTGAAAGCCAGGGCGAGGGCCGAGGGCCATCCGAGCCTACGCTGTCTCATCCTGTCCCTCTAGCCGTGGCAGTTTGCCACAGGTGCCAAGGTATGATACAAAACACGAGAGCGTCGAACTGCTCGACGCAAAGGCTCCAAGGCCCTCAGTTATGACACCTCAAGGCACCAGAAATTGACACACCCGTTGCCACTTCCAGAGCGGCGCCAGAAATTGCTTGAAGTCCTGGACCCCTTGCCGATGCTTCAATGCTTCAGATGGTCAGCTTGTGAAGTCTCATTGTAAGTTGTGGTCGACGTCGCCCGGTAAGTCGCATCGGCATGATGCTCGAAAATCCGACAAAGAATACCAGCTGTTGAAGCTGGCGGTGATTTTGCTGTGCTGACGCAGCATCTACCCTTGCATAGTGTGCCACTACAGATCAGAAGCGGTCGAAAACTCACCTTCTTCCATCCGTCGAAGCTTGAAGCCAAATTCGGAGGGAAAGCAACACCACCTGGGTGGAGGATCGTCTAGGCAGCAGTCACAGAACCCCAATAGATGGCTAGGCTGCGACCGAGCCAGGGCACCTCAGAGGCCGCGACACAGCCGTGAGGTCATGCATGTAGAGATGCAACAGCATCGTAAGGGTAGATTCACTTCTAACTGGTTACGTGGATCCAATGTTCGGAGAGTGCTGGGCGGCGGACACATTCCGGTGGCTTACCAGGCTCGAATGCTGGTTGGTTATATCAGGGATCTGGAGTGTTTCGTAATGAGAACCCATGCGCGCCAACAAAATTATCATGCACTTGCAAATTGGTGCATTCTGCCAGCTGCAGGTATCCTCCGCCCGGAGCTCAGGCAAGGCAGGCTTGGGATTTCATTCAAGCTGTTTTGGGATGTGAGCACATGTTGTTTTCGATTCTTCCTGTTTTGCACAATGTCTCGGATCCAACAAGGATGTTCAACTGGACTGGCTTTGCCAGCACTGGCGCACAAACTCGTTAATTCATGGCTTAATGGCCATGCAGCTGTGGTTGGAACTTTGTTCCGAAAATTTGCATAGTTCGTCGGGCAGGAGCCATACGGCATGGATGCGCATCTGAACTGCACTTCCATTTGCAAGAGCGTTCATGCCCTCGGGACTCGCGAACTCAGGGCACCCGCAAGCGAAGGCGAGGCCCTCGCGCGTGTACGCCCTGAGCCGAAAGCCCTTGACAGGCACGGGCGCTAGTCAGGCGCGCACTCCGGCCTCAACAAGGCCGGCACCCAGGTTTGTAGATTGCATGCAGGGTTTCGCTGGAGTACCCTTGGCAGTTCTCTCTCGTTGTAGCCCTCGTCAATTCATCTTCCCTGCTTGAGCCGAGGGTTTCGGCGCGTCCTCCTTGGAAGACCCCAGTCCTGAGCCTTGAAAGCCAAAACTCCAAGCAATCCTTAAGCGGGAGACTCCCATAGAGGCTGATCTCTGAAGCCTGAACCGACACGCTTCAGCACGTTAACGGCTTCGTTTAAGCTGGCCTGGCCCCCAAAAGAGCCCTAACGGAACCCTACAGTAAACCGTAGAAACCTCCACCCCAAAGCCTCAAAGGCCCTAAGCCCTTGAGACCGGCTCCGGATCTCGGCTTTTTCTGAGGCCAAGCTCGGCCGGTGCCTCCGTGTCCGTCTTGCTCCAAGCTGGTGTAGTGAGCCATTGTTTTGTCTCTTTGGCAAGTACCAGCCTCTTCTGAGCTACTGCTGAACTGTTGCCATCTTGTACATTCCGATTCTGTTGCATGATTTTGCTTTTGCTGTGCCCTAGCCGCGGTTCTCTTACAGTAAGCAGCATTGCACATGCTGACAGGATACTCTGACGACTGTCGTCGACGCTGTCGTTGTTGCTGCTGTTATTGTTGCTGTTGCTGTTGCTGTCACTTTCACTGTCACTGTTGCTGCTGCTCCTGCTCCTGTTCCGGTCCCGGTCTGTCCCTGTCGCTGTGGCTGTTGCTGTTGTTGTCGTTGTTGCTGCTGTGGCTGTTGCTGTGGCTGGTGCTGGTGCTGGTGCTGGTGCTGGTGCTGGTGCTGGCGCTGGCGCTGGTGCTGGCGCTGGCGCTGTTGTTTGTTTGTTTGGTTGGTTGGTTGGTTGTTTTTTTGTTTGTTTGTTTGCTTGCTTGTTTGAGTGTTTGCTTGTTTGTTTGAGTGTTTGCCTGTTTGTTTGAGTGAGATTGGAAATGATGATGGTGATGCTGACCCAGAAGATGACACGGGTGATGATGACGATGCTAAGGTGGACAGTTGAAGTCGCAGTAGGAACAGAACGTAGTAGGCGTCGTCGCCGTCCTCATCGTCGTTGTCGTGATCGTCGTCGCATTGCTGTTGTAGTCGCGTCATCAACAGCGGTAGTTGAGTCGTCATCGTCGTTTTGGAGTCATCGTCGCCGAAGTAGACGTAGCTAAGTACGTAGCAGTAGTAGTATGAAATTGTAACTAGCATGTAACAGTAAGTAGTAGTTTATTCTAGTGACTGATTGCAGTCACCAGTAGTTGTAGTTTCTAGTAGTTACTCGTCGTCGTCGCCGTCGTAACAGCGTCGTCGTCGTTGTCGCTGCGGTAGCAGTAGCAGGACCAACACCAGGACCAGGAGCAGGGAGGAGGAGGAGGAGGACGAGGGGGGTAGTTGTGTAGTGGCAGAGGCAGGAGCTGTCGCAGTGTTCATGGTGTGGTTATGATACTGATACTGTAGTCATCATCCTGCCAGCCAAAAGGAATGTTGGCCTCGATACCTTTGTCATCCCTCGGTTCCGTTCTGATGCCTGCAGGGGATCTATCCCATGTCGGAAATCTCGCCACTGCTAGGCCGAAGAGATGCTCATGCAGGGCTACATCCCTAGCACCGAGTACGCCTGTGGCTGAGCATCGAACACGCGGGTCCTTCCCAACACAAGACGTGGACAATTGTTCTCCCGGTCAGTTTAGAACGAGGCCGGCCAGCATGAACCTATAACGCTGAGCCATCATCGTCGACCAGCGCGTCTCGCACGACTAGCTCTCACACACTCGCTGTTCCGGCGGACTTTACAAGGCACAGGCATGAAGAAGCCCCAGCGAAACGGACAAGCAAACCCTCTACGTTCTACACCAATAAGCAGCAAGAACGGCCAGGAGCCTGGGAGATCGTTCAAAAAGAACGCTAGCCTCCTAAAGCAGATCCCAGACATACACATACACCAGTTTCCAACACATTCCCATCCCTTCTCGCCATGCTTGCGGCCCTCTCACCCCTCCCCTCGGGACGGCCGGCAGCCTCGGTGGCGCTTCGGCGCCTGGCGGTTCCGCTGCGGGGCTTCGCCTCACGGAGGTGCGCAGCTCGGAAGCGGACCCTATAAGAGGCGTGAGCAAGTGTTGAAGGACAAGGGTCAGGGCGCAGTGCAAGTTTCAAGGAGGGCTCCCAGGAGGATGCCAGACCTGTGCCTTTCGGTGCAGAGCTGTTGTAGGCACGGACCCGCTCCGAACGAGCCCCCGAAGACGGAACGGGAAGAGAAGGACAATGCCACAGCTCATTGCAGAAAGGTTGGCAGATCTGGGCAGTGTTTCAGCAAGCTGGGTTCGAGAGAGATGTGTTGAGAGTGGAGATGAATGCATTGTTGAAGGGATGCAAGACATGCTGGGCCTGAGTCCCTGAACTTATCACGGCCATAACAAAAGTAGTCATACAGCCATACCTATAGAGGTGTTTGAAGGCGTTTGAAGGTGCTCATATCGAAGTTTGAGAAGAAGATGCAAGTTGCGGCGTGTTTTAGTGGCAGCGTATTCGCATGGGCATAGCAGGGTGCCAGCGCCCAGGCTTCTCATCCGGGACCGTAGCCACCATGACATGGCTAGAACCAGCTTGGTGCTTGGAGACACCGCGCATGTGTTGTTCAGGAGGCAAAGCAGGCGCCCGAACCGGAAACTTCGCAGGACTGCCTTGAAGAATGACGGCGCCCAGAGTGCACTTAGGACCGGTGAAGCCGATGACGAACAAGATTGGTTTGGCAGCAGCATTGCTAAGATGTACTTGGTGCTGGTGGATTCGAAGCCATCGAAGGGTGGATTTGCAGATTGGTGGGAAGGCTTGCGGAGCCGAGACGGTGAATTGCTCGGCAGGGCCTTCCTTTGCGAGGGGCAAAGGTTCAAGAGCTTCCTAATCTTCACATCTGGCCTGTACTTCTAAGATGAGGTTCTCTGTCCGCAAGCCATTCTCTCAGGATGATGATGATGATAGTGATGAAGATGAAGATGATGAAGATGAAGAAGGACAAGATGAAGATGATGATGAGGTTTGTGTCGTGTTCCAAGCTTCTCCACAGTGCGCCAGCCATGTGTCCTAGTCGTTGTCCCAATCGTTGTACTCCGAACAATGGCAGGATTCACTTAGTTGGGGGCAGCGCTTCATCATGCTGGGTGCTGCCCTGCGGGGTGCTGCTTTCGCGCCTCGGAAGCTCAGCGGTTAGTGCAGTGCTAGCGCCGTCAGTTGAGCGTACGTACACGATGCAGTCGAGTGGACAGTGGGTGGGACGGGGGAGCGGGCTGAGGCGGCGTGATAAATTCTATGTTCCACGTTGTTATATAATTTGTGGTCCAATCTGGCCAATCCAGTCCGACCTTGTCCAAGTCTAGTGGATCTACTCCTGTTCGCCATCGTGAACACCTGGCTGTGCGCATGTTTGCGTGTATACTTGCATCGTGGCGGCGACTTCAAAGCCCAAGACAAGTGGGACCCGTGCATTATGTCATCAGCCACCTATGACCCCCCACCCCCAAGGGTCGGTTTTTCAAGACATGTTGTGTTTCCGTTCGCTGCGCATGTGCAGGTTTAGGCTGAAGCCTAGCTGTTCGTATGATGTTGTGGTCGCTTTCTGGTTTGAAGATGTCGCGCGAGTCTGTAGGATTGCAACACAGTAACGAATCCTGCAGTCGGTTATACGAGGGCTGCTGCAAGGAATCATACACACTGCTAGTCATATTCCGGAACTTGAGCATTACTCCAATTCATTGCCCCACCACCCAGTCCACCATTTCGCAGTTGACGAAGCAGGATGGTATATTGTAGTAGTAGAATATGATACTCCATTATATACACAAGGATACGTACTCTAAGAATAGCATAGTTCAATAATGTCTAGTACTGATACACACTGATACGCACTCAAAGAATAGCATACTTCAATCATGTATACTACATTATACACAATGATACGTAGTCTAGGAATAGCATAGTTCAATAATATATAGATATTACTGTTAGTTCAGTAATGTATAACTGTATAATATTATACTGTACTATGGTGCAAGATCTTCCAGGCACCACGGCTAGCGGCCGTCGCGCCGGCTCTTCGCTTCGCCGGACCCGGGGCGGTGGCAGCAGCTGGGCGGCCACTGCTTTGGAACCTTTAAGGGCTGTAAGCAAAGCAAAAGAGGATATAAGATAAGATAATGTAGTTTAGTAAGGTAAAAACCCTATAGCATATTATGCTCTACTATGCAATGCTATGCACTACTGGGGCCCCGGGCGCCAGATTTGGGTGATCTGTGCATTTTTGTGAGTTGTTAAGCACCTTTGCCTATGATTGTAGTGCTTGGAATGCCAAGTAGAATGCAGATAAGAATTGGAATGCACTATTGTCAACAGCAGTGTGCGGCAGCTTGCTTCTTTCCAAAGAGAAACATGGTGCCATATTGGGGACTGCCCAGGCTGTTTTGTAGCATTGCAGATCAAGACTACGCCGTGCAAGACACCTGCTTCAAGCCCTCCCCAATCATGAAGCGTGCCGTGGCTACCTTGCCGGTGTTGGCCAGCTGGGCCCTCGGACAAGACACGCCCATCTACGAGTATGCACCAGCTACGGTGCTCGGGTGCGAGTGCGTGTCCGAATGCAAAGAGAGCCCTTTCGCTGGCTGCTTCGCAGCCCCCATCTGCAAGGTGAAGAACAAGAATTGCGCCAAGGGCTCTGCTTCCTGGGGCATTCCACTTGGCAGCTATGACTACTGCTCTTTTCCAGCATACAAGCCCTACGAAGAGCTCACGGGGGAACAGAAGCAGAAGCTGCTGTGGCACCGCATCAGCCAGAACACGACATCTGGCCAGTATCCCGCCGCCCTGTCACTCCTGACGGGCATCATGTCTGAGAGTGTTCAGGTGTCGTTTGAATCGCAGTCAGACATCTTCCCGGGCTCCCGCATCAAGTACATCCACAGCGTCGGGGCTGTTGCGCCCATCAAGTGGGAGTCTTTGACTTCGAAGTACGGCGGTCTCTTCGCCTCTGGGTCAGAGCATGGCTTTGTTCGCTTCTCGTCAGCTGCAGAGCCAGGCAGCTCCGGCTTCACCCCGGGCATTGGCCTGAAGCTTCTGCGTGACGGGCGAACAAGCTCTAACTTCGTTGCTATGCCTGGCCTGGATGGCCAGCCATGTGAGGAGAGCAACTTCTTCTCTCGTGACTTCACCACACACATCAAAGCAAGCACCAGCTTTGCCCTCAAGTTGGTTGCTGCCAAGTTCTGGCAGGCCTCTTACTGCCCGTTGATGGTGGGCACCTCGGACTTCGCAGACGGGCAGAAGGGCAAGTTCCCCTTCGAGCTAGTGTTGCGCCCGGCAGTGAAGGTGGAGTGCCCTTGCCAGGATTATGCCCAGTGCCTCAAGAATCTCGAGTCCGATCTGAAGCCAGGACAGGTCGTTTTCGAAGTCTACGCTCTGGAGAAGCCAGGGGCAACCGAAGAGTTGATCGGGAAGATTCGGATCGGCGAGCATGGTCCAACTACCACAACCTTCGGCGATGAGCAGCTCTTCTTCAAGCACCAGTACATGGAGGATGACTTCAAGCTTCAGCCCGACTGGCTTGATGCAATTGACTCAAAAGAGGACTGCGGCATGAAGGGTGTGACGACCACACCGCCAAAGGCGGAGCGTGGTTGCAAATCGCCTTTCAATGGCATGCTCGAGACTGACCAAGAGGTGATTGTTTGAGCGTCCTCTCCAGTTGCGCTTAAAATTTTCTCCGTGGGACCAAAGACTTAGCTGACTTAGCCAAAGCCCCACTGTTCTGTTCTCTGCAGGCTTAGGAGCCTGCATCGTTTGACCCAGTCCGAACACCAAGCATTGTGCGACGTGGGGTCGCCTGCGCGTTTGGACAGCTTGCTCTGGGTAGAAAGATCCCAGCACACCTCGCACAGGACATGCGGCGGCTATTTGGGAAAGGGGGCGTGGTCTCGGCTGATGGAATGCCGTAAGGTTTTCGAGCTAGATTTCGCATGTGCGGAGTTTGGGCACAGACAGGGGCACGGTTCGCCGTGTTGAGTTGAGCAGCTAGCAGCTTTGGTACAGTGTTTGTGGTGGCCGTTGAAGCGACAGGGAACAGGGGCTTTCCGTGTCAGGTTGGGCTTACAGAAGGTGAGATTCCATCATGTTCTCGAATGACTCTAATGCAGCATAGAAGCCGCAAGATGCTTTTGGATGACAGAGCAGCCTTGGTCGTCTGCACACTCGGAAGCCGAGGTCGGCGCGGTGGTTTCCGCCTATGAGCTGCTCGGAATTCCTTGGAGCCAGCCTTTCTTCTGAGTCCGAGTTTGCACCCGAACCCCAAGTCTAGAAGATTTCCTGAGAAGCGGCTTTGAGACGAGGTGCTCGGCACGTAGACGTTTCGATTTCGACACAGCACAGGCATTCTCATCCCTAATGTAAGAATGCTGAGGTTCGTTGAAGCCGGGTCCAGTGCAAATCAGGCGGTTTTCTGAAGGCTCCCAGGAATCCCTTGCCCAGCTCAGGATCGGCGGCTGGCGCCTGATAGCTGCAGTGCCTTCCACGATCGGACTCGGCTGGTGGGCTTCCAACTTCAACGAATCCAGGCAGCCTGGGGCCAAATGCAAGAGCTTGTTGCACAGCATGTTCAGTGATTCCTCTTTGCTAGCCTTGAGGGATGTTGGTAGTGGTGTAGGGTCTAGGTCTTCCCTGAACAGAGGGCCTGGAATGCTTGTTTACGACTGTACGGTTGCAAGTCGATGTGAGTGGTGCTGGTATTCCTTTCGCATTACGATTATGTAGTGCACTCAGAGTCCAGGAAATCCTGAGATGAGGACCTGAGACTAGGGAGTCCGCGTGAAGGCCTTCAGTATGCTCAACAGATCTCAAGGAATGAGAGGTTCTACGACTCGTGGTGTTGAACGTGAACCGAGACCTTGGTTGTGGGACTGTGCGCCAAGTCTCTCGAGCCAGGTTCGAGGAAAACTTCAAGAAGGCCGGACCACCGAGAGCGTAGACATAGTATGGAAATCATCCTTTGCAGCTGTCATTAGCCGATTGTTCCTGAGAGGGCGTGGTGGCACAGCTCAGCTCCGAGCAGCCAGACCTGCCCGAAGACCTCGTGGCTGCCGTCCAGGCCTGAAAATCACGGTGTTCAGGGCTCTAGACTGCGATAGGAGTTCAGTTTAGATGTGGGGCATGCTGGACCTTACACAGGATCAAAGGATACCGGGGCTTCAGGCTGTCTAGGGCCTGATGATGGTTTAGCCTCAGCTGCTTGACGGTTTCGCTCCTCGCTGTTCCGATGTCCAGGGCCTCGGCATGTCTTTGGGTCGCTCAACTTCCTGGACCCTGGAGGTACTCGTAAAGGTGCATTTTCCGGTTCTAAGCCCTGCCACAGCTCGCAAACCACCCTTAGAGTGGCTGGAAGACCCACCTTCAGCGGCGACCTGCAGAACCTAGAGACCCCCTAAATGAAACACGACCGCGCAGTCTTCCGCGCTCCGCAATTACGAGACGAACCGCTGCCGCCTGGATGCGGAGACGCGCAGTGACGGCGAGGGCTGGCGGATTGCGGCTGGTCTCAACAGTTTCTGCTTTGGGCTCGTGCTGTGCCGTCTTGTGTGGTGTCAGTGTTCATGTTCCGGAGATGCTGCTGATGCCAGAGACCATCAGATGATTTTGAGGCCGTCTGGCTCTGACGCTCTAGCTTCGTTTGGATGCGTGTTTCCCTTGAGTACACTTACATACGTACACGACAGACTCTAGGATTGCATTGCATGAAGTTGCATGTGCACTTCCGGTTCCGGACACGCAAAGACAGAAGGATGCAAGGACAGACCATCAGATGAGGCGTGCAGTGCATGCGCACACGCATGCGCGCTCACTCACTCACTCACTCACTCACTCAGTCAGTCAGTCAGTCAGTCACTCACTCACTCACTCACTCACTCACTCACACGCACAGACACAGACAGAGACAGAGACAGCGACCGATTCTGCATCCTCGTTTGGAGCGTGTGCAAGCTGTGTTTTCAGAACTGCAAGTAGATCTGCCCACCCTCTCCCTCGGAAAGAGACCCTGAGGAGATCATGGCAGATCGGAGCAGCTTCATGTCCAGCTGGAAGGCGACTTCCATCAAGGTCATGTGCCTTGGCTGCACCACTCACAGTCTGGCCTCGGCTTTGACGGGCTGCGGGAAGCCGTTGCAAAGCCGTGAGACCTCGAGGAAGGGACGGGCGACATGGACCGCGCCGGGTGCAGCCCTGCATCCGCAGACAAGGAGTGGCTCCAGGGCTCGGCTTTGCATGGTTGAACTCCTGTGTCGCAAGCTAAATGCGTTGGGCTTGAGATGGTTGGGTTCCCAGGCGCGCTCTGAGGCTGTGATGCTTGAGGCTTTTGTTGACAGTCCGCTTTCAAAGGCTTGCGGTGCAGCTGAGGGTTGTTGGGATCAGTGTGCATTCGGTTCCATGCACGAACCCCAATATGACTGACATGTTGAATCCACGGTCTTCTTGTCAACTTCCAGGTACATGAGATGATACTATTTTGGCCGCAGCTAACATGAAATTGCGTGTTAAGTAACGAGTCTCTGTCTTGATTAAACCCCGTCCGATTCGAGGCCTTGTACGTGGCCTTGCCAGAGCAAAGCCACGGCCCCTTTCCGTTGCGAGGAGCTGGGACCCGACGGCGCCACCCATGCGTTGGACGCTTCTTTGGCAGGGCTCCGGCCTGCCCGGCTGAGCCTCCTCGCTTCCGCTTCCCCGCTTGAGCCGCTGTACAGAGGTCGCTGTTGCAGACCTAAGCGGGCATCAACCTTTGGCTCCGGCCAAGGCCAGGGATCCTTTTTTTCCCAGGCCCTTCAAGTAGTAGTGGCCGTCGTGGTGGTTGCGGCTGTGGTATGAGTGGTCGTGGTATGTTCGGGGCCTGGAGGATCCGTCCGGCCTTTGCCACAGCCGCTTGGGGCTCTCGGAAAGTGAAAAGTGCTTCGGGAGACTCGGAGATGACAGGCTTGGCACCTTCCCGAGAGCTTCGAGCGGGGATTTTGGCCAATAGGTGCCTGAGCGACCGACGCAGCCGTGGGAGAAAATGCTGCCTGCGGGTTTGACCCGAAGTTCCGAACGCTCTCTGCTTTCAGTGAGGTGGGCATCATGGCCCTGAACAAGGACTCGTTGGGATGGCCCGGGGCTTTCGGATGGAGGTTCTTCAGATTGAGATGCAGCGCTGTGTCGAGATGCAGCCGAATCCTGCGAGGGTTCGTGTGTGAAGATGCAACGCAAGTCTTCCAATGTTGTTTTTTCATCAGATGAAAGCTATGTCTCCTTGCCTTTCGATCATAGTAGTGACAGCAATGGCGGCAAGAACTGCTTCATTGGTATGCGGCATACTGATGCCTTGATGCTTCATGAAAGTCACGAAAGGGGAACAAGCTGGTGGAGTAGGAGGGGGAAGTGCAAGGGATGCTTCGAGCGCAAGGGCCCGAATTGCTTGGCCAACACCAGCTCACAGGGCAAGCCACTCCAGTCGAGGATATGGATAATGTTCGACGAAAAGCTCACACGAGAAGGCTTTCGCTCGAATCCAAGGAAAATCCCTGGCTGGAAGCAAGGTTGCCGGTCCCGTGGTGAACCTAGGGCGCCCGAAGGCTAACACCACCCGGCTGGTGTTGCACTGTAACCAGCGGCCCACGTCTCCGGATAAGTGGGCTTCGCATGCTTGGCACAGAACCGCCCTGGAGTGCCAGCTCTTGAAGCTGGCTGTGCTTGTGCTTGCAAAGGAGCTCCGTGAGCAGAACAAGCTGCTGAGAGCTGAATTGGTGAATCTGAAGGCTTCCCTGGTGCAGACCCGTCTCATCTGTTGTTGAAGGGCCATCGGTCTTGGCATTGTAGCTTCAAAGGAGAGGCAGGGTTTCTGAGATCCCAAATCCGCACGGCTTTTGAGCTCTGGGGCCCATGGCGCCCTTGAGATTCTGCGTCGTTCCGTCTGTGGAGGTGGAGCAAGAGTCGCTGCGCATGGAGGCCTGGCAGTGTCGGGTCAGAGTGCGGCGGCAGCCTTGGGCTTTCCGACTGCTCTGCACGAGGAGAGCTTCCTTCGATCGCAGCTGCATGCCGGTCTGGAGCCGCCGCCCGAGGCCGTGGCCTGGAAGTCTCAAGCACCGGCTACTGTAGGACATGAGCTTGCCGGCTTACCTGCTACTACCTACACATACCTACACCATCTCACAGAGCCCTTGGTGCCCAAAGCGTGAACTGATGTGAAGCGCGAAGCCTACGACAGAACTCCCGAACCCTACACTACTACCCGGAGCCCCCAAGACTCCCCTGGGCGGTATTTTCACTCCCTTTGAAAGCAAGCAGGGGTAGGGCTTCGGCCTTGTTGGGTGCAATGCCTTCAAGAGGGCTGTACGAAAAGGTGACCTCCTCGCTCCCTGATGAGCAGTGAGGGGCTGGGGCCACTTGCAGTCGCGAAGCGAAAAAAAAAGAAGCTCCTACTGGAATTTAGGATTAGCACGCCCCACCCTAAGATCCCTCGGCACAAACCCATCCATGGCCGGCGGAAACAAGGTGCTGGATACTGGAGGGGAGGTGACAAAGTAAGCAAAGCGTTGGGATGCTCTCCATGTCTCTTCATGTATCTTCCGGGCTTATAAGCCAGGCCATGTCGCAGGATCAAGCGGCACAAGTGTGCTCAGGCAGGCAACACTGCACCGTATTCATAAGAGACTCTTAGCAGCTAGAGGGATTACGGGTCCCTGTGTCGCCCCTCTGACACTCCTCTCTTTCCAGCTCGTCAGCCCTAGGGCATCCAAGGGCCTTAGCCGCCCTAGCCCCAGCCCTACCCAAGCACCTTGAGCGTCACTTCAAAGTCGAGAAGCTGCTTCTGGGTGCCAAAGATGCTCACGCCTCGAAGCCATGGTACAACCTCCCGGCAGAGAATCCACGCCGCTGGAATCAACCTTGAACAGCTGGGTTGCTGCCTGGCCTTTTCGAAAGCTCTTCACGTGACGGTGTCGTGGGTGGATGCCCACTCCGTGAACTGTCCATGAAGCTTGAGTTCTCGGGGAGTTGTGATCGTAAATGCTGGGCATCTTCGGACCGCAGGGGCGGAGTCGTACGGCTGTTGTCTTCTGACGGGTTAATCGAGGCCACCTGTTGAGAAAGCATACGCAGGCCGCTCGTGCCTGCTAGTAGTCGGTTCGTTGACGCTGCAGTTGGGCGCTTTCTGAGGCTTGGGCGAATGCCGGTGCGCAGCTTGGGCAGCAACAAGGGCGCCTGCAGCGTTGCGGCACCAACTCATCAACAAATCTAGTCCTCCGAATGATTTCCCGGAAAGACCCCCAGACATCGAACTCTAACTCAAAGACCGCCCCCCTCAAGCCCCTCAAAAAATAAGGGCCCTAAATTTAAAGCGCCCTTGCTTGGGCCTTGGAGTGTTTTTTTGTTTTCGGAGGTCCGGCGGAGCGCTCTTCCAGAACCTTCAGGAGGGCTTTGCCGGCAGCCAAGGCCAGGCCCCGGCCAGGGCCCTTGGGGCCAAGCCTTGTAAACTCAAGCAATAATAAGAGTCTGATAAGAGTAGCAAATAGTAAGAGTCATCATCATAGTCATATAATTCATCATATAGTGATCGTAGTCATAATGGTAATCATCATCATCATACAACTCATACAATGGTAGTAATCATAATGGTGAGAGTCACAATCATAATAATCATAGTGCAAACACGTAATGCTGCTGTGGGGACTCTGGTGGCAAGACTTAGACTTAGACGTGTGGTCACTTTGCCAAGTCGGGCACAGAGCCAGTGTGAACGATGATCAGAGGGACAGTTCGAGACTCAGGGTCATTGTCAATTGACAAGGCGACGGTGTGCGCATCAGTGTGATGATCACAGGGACAAAAACCAGAGGATTCTGAAAGTATCCAACCAGTACGATGCGGTACCGTTTGTAGTAGTGGTCGCTGTGTTCATCCTGGTTGGCAGTGGCGAACCAACCGGATGAGTAGGCCCCGACCTGCAGCGCAGGCTTGGCGACACTGCAGCAGAGTTTGCTGTCTGTCCGCCTCCCCGACAGCGCCGAAGAAGCCATCGACTGGGAAGGGGCGCTGAAGAGGCCTTCAGGGATACTTCTGCGGGATCCCTCTCCCCGGCCTTTTCGTTTTTTGGTAGAAGTCGATGTCTCGTCATGGATACCAGTGAATTAGGCTCTTGAGGTTGGCGAGGCAAAAGCAAGCTTTGCCATACTTTTCGTGGTGGAGAGGCTTCAGCAAGTGGATGACAGGGCTGTCGGGTTTGGGACTCCGGGTTGCAACTACTGATGACAGCCAGGCAAAATGCTGCCAATGACGAGCTGTGTAGCGGCTTGGCCTTGCAAGTGATGCGAAGCTCTCGGACTCGAAGGTGCTTAGCTGGGCGTTCATGATGAGTTGTTGCCTTCGATTGATGGGAAAAACACCGCTGGCGAAACTGAGGCGAGAACAGCCAGCTGCAAGTAGAGCTGTGCCTTGCTTCAACCTTCAGACTCCAGGGTTTTCCATTGACCTGACGGGTTTTAGGCGGACTGTCACTGAGCATCTTACGGCAGCTAATTGGATACAGATACCTGCAGTCCCATGTTTTAGCTCGACCGCCCTGTGTCTTACCGTGTGTCTTACCGAAGCATCCGACCTGTGACCCCTCAATCCAGGAAGAAGCTGCAGGAGGAGGTGGAGGCACTGGAGGCGGCGGAGGCGGCCCTGCCCAAGGCCTCGGCTCGACTTTGAAAGAGGGTTGAGGGACGCGAGGGCAGCGAACGGGGGGGCTTCTTCCGAGGTTCTCAGTCTCAGGCTCGGAAGGAGAGTGCATGGTCAAGCTTGCACAACAACCTAATCAAGCTGAATCAAACAAAGAGTGGCCTGGCACGGTGAACTCCTGGCACCGCGAAAAGCCAAAGAAAGAAAGAGTCACGTCGGACGAATTCAGCCGGAAGCCTCAGTCGAAGTTTGTCGAGGAAGCGGAAGCTGCTAAGACAGCAGCGGACGACACGGAGGGCGCCTTGTCTCTACAGACATGGGCGGGTCCGGTTTGAGAAGTTGCCGTCAAAAGATTGGATGAACGTCAGAAGCCCTAGACCGTAAAGACCCTTTGGGATTCGGGCGCTCAAAAAACAGGAGAACCTTAAAGCTTTGCATGTTCGATGCTAGCCCGGCCCTCAATGCTCTCCAACAGCGACCTGTCTGGCAGCCTCGGTCGGATTAGGGAGTGCCGTGAAAGCTTGAAAGCTCCGGGTTTTGGAGGGAAGTTGACAGAGATTCAAACTCGGAGACTGGTGGGATTTCTGGCTTCCAAGATCCAGACTCAGAGATGCCTTGGCATCTGATGCCCAGGGCTCCTCGAGGAGATCATTCACCAGCTCCGGGACCGAGTTCAGAACTCGCTGGCCAGGTTTTCAAGGAGTCTCGGAGTGGAATTAGGCAATCATGGTTTCGGGTTTAGGGTTTGGGGTTTAGGGTCGTCGTAGTCAGGCTAGTTTGTCACATTCAATCGTGATCGATGTTCTGGCTACTTTGCGCTTCTGGCGGTCAGCGTGATGAATGTGTTTGAAGAATCGTCGGCTGCCAAAAGTTGGCAAGATCGCCGCATCTACGTGAATCAATGGTTACATGTGTGCAGAGTACACACGTAAACTGCACAACGTATGTACGTATGCATGCACATGCGTATGCGCGCGAACATCTCTGTGTGTTTATGCGAACTTGGGTTCACGTGAGGTTCCGGTAAGTAAGTGTAAACTTTGGGTTTGATGTTGCGGAGATTAGTAACAGAAAACTTCCATCAGACATATCCATGCACCACCTATCCCAGACACAAACATAGCCACGAATGCCTACTAAGAGGCCTCAATCTCCTTCTTCGCCCGAGTCAGCAACAACTGCTCTAAGATTGTTACAGAGAAAGAGCCCCAAAACTCTCCGCAACAACCCTGCCCCGTCTGTTTCGTGTGATGTGCCCGGCCCCCAACCCGAAGTTCCATTTCCCGGAATTCCGCCGGAATGTCGAGGCCCAGCGACAGGTAGGGATTCCAGGGGCTTACGCTGACCACATGAAGGAAAACAAGAAGATTGCTTGCTCTCGGCGGGCGGTTGCATTGTTGGCAGCGGCCCTCCTGGCGGCTGCAGCGTTGTGGGCCTCCGTCTCACGGATTGCTGCTGCGATGACGGCTGCTGCTGGGCAATACCGTGACGACAACTTACCGCCCTGGACTGAGGGCTTACTAGACATCCACCATCTGCAGGTGGGAGCGTCACAGAGCACGTTTATCGTGATGCCAGATGGGTCGACGATGCTGATCGATGCTGGTGATTTAGCGACGAAGAAGCCGGGAAAGTGTGTTGCAAGGGATCCCATCCCGAACTCGACCAGAACCACGGCTGGTTGGATCAGTGAGTACATTCGAACATTGTGGCCTCATGACTTGAAGGCAAAAAGACCTACCTTGGATTTCGTGCTGGTGACACACTTCCGTAAAGACCACATTGGCGACGTTGAGGCGGCTGTTGATCGAGGTACCATGAGCTTGCACGAACACGATGAGGTTCCTGTCACGGGTCTCGCAGAGGTGGCAGAAGCTTTCAATTTCGCGAAGCTGATAGAGCATATCCAGACTACAACTTTCCTGTGAGCCTTTTCAACACTCCCGATGGTGCGTTCTACATCGGGTTCGCGGAATCCATGAAGGTGCGAGGCACCTCTGTTGAAAGATTCGAGGTGGCGAGTTCCAAGCACATGCACATGGTGAAGAAGGAAGGCGCGGCTAAAGATTTCGTGATAAAGAATATCAAGGCGAACACCGAAGTGGCTGAGACCGATAGTGATGGAAACCTGATCGGAAACAGAACCATGCCAGGCACTGTTTTGATGGACGATGGGAACTGGGATGAGAACATGCTGAGCACAGCCATCGTCATCGAGTATGGAAGCTTCCGCTACTACGAGGGTGGTGACACCAAAATCGGAGCCTTGGACATGGTGAATCCCACAGCTGAAGCTGTGGGGTCAGTGGATGTAGCTACTCTGAACCATCACGGGCATGGAGTGTCCGAGCTGTTTGCTCGACTTCTCGATCCTAAGGTGGCGATTCTCCAGGCTTGGTGCTCGGACCATCCACCCAGCCAAAGCATTCGAATCCTTAGCGAAGTGGGCCTCAGAATGGAGCGAGAGATTTTTGCCACCGACCTTTTTGCAGAGAGGTCCCAAGAACTCCGTTCCCTGGGTCTTGATGGAAATTTCCGGTCGACAGGGGGCCACGTGGTGGTCCGGGTGTATCCACAGCATGGGAAGCAGACCTATGAGGTCTTCGTCCTCGATCCCGGCTCACTGCCTCCCGGCCGGGTGCTCTTGAGAGCCTTCCTTTTTTACCGCTGTTAAACACGCACCATCCGCAAAAAAAGCAACGACGATGATCTAGTCGTAGGCAGCGGGCTGTAGGACGGAACCGGTAAAAACTACTAGCAACAAGTTGCTTGTAAGCACCGGTTCGTAATTGGTAAGTAGTAAGAATTTTGAGCAGTTTTTTGAACACGAGACATGTAGGAATAGATCTCAAAGCATTCCAGGTCGGTCTCATCCCGGCATGGCCCCTACGAAGTCAGGGCTCGAACATCGGGAGTGGTGGCAAAGTCACACGCGGGGCAAAAAGGTTTGCCCGGCAGTTCTCTTTGCCGCAACGTGTAGGTGGCACTGGTTAACGGCATCATGGTCCACATGTGCCCACTTTCATCATCTAATGTTGTGTTCACGCCCGCATCCCGAACAGCCGAAGAGCAGCAAGCCAGAATGCACGATTCTGAGCGTTCAGATTGTTGGGTGCTGGGACTTCTCTTCTTGACATTCGGCTTCGGAGATCTGGGGTTCCGGGCTTCGGGACGGAGTAAGGCTGCGGGCATAGACAGCTTCGAGGCCGACTGCCGACCCAGGGGACCCCACAGCGGAGATGGGCGATCCAGACTGGTCGGAGCTGCTGAGTCGCGTGGAGCAGGCGGGGTTGCGAAGCCTTGTTTTTTGGGTTTTTTTTTTCACCTTGCAGGTCTGAACGTCCCATCAACAACGCGCGCGACTCAAAAGAATCCCTCTGCAGAGGCCGTGCGCGAGGCAGAGACGGCCTCGGCGGCGCCCAGTGCGGCTACCATGGCCGAGGAGGCCCCGGAGAGGGCTTCTGACACAATCCGGCGGATGCCTGCTCTGTGGAATGGAAAATGACATTCCCCAGGTCGCTCTCTTGGTCGCCGAAAAGATGGCGCTGAGAGAGCAGGTCCAGCGGAGTCCAGCGGAGCCAGGATGTTCAGACGGTTCAGAGGGATCAGAGGGCTCCAGGGTTCCTGATTGCGCAGAGCTTTCAAGGTGGGCCGACAGGGCTTTGGACATGTTGGGCTTTTTGCTGTCCTTCGGAAAGGGTGAGCAGAGCACATGCAGCAGCGGCTAGGGTTTAGATAGTTCAGCGAATAATGATCCCGCACGCTTTAGCTTCGGCTCCGGCCTGCCAGGCGTATAAAGTTGGGTCTACTGCCCATGATATCCTTTCAGATCAGAACCTGCATGCCATAGACAGCAACCCGATTTCAAGCCTTGTATTCCTTGCTGCCAGGTGGAGAGGCAGCAGGACCTTCGAGCGGGGATGTGAACCTGACATGGGGGAACCAGACACCCCCAACACTTAAAGCAGCAACTAGTAGCGAAGCTTGACTGACTCCACGTAAAGATTCAGCTTGCATGTTTGAGACTTGCAGATGCGTGGCAAGACTACCCACTCACCTAGGTGCGGATCTGTTAAACCCGGAATCCGCCATGCGCGCATTTAGGCCGTGGGGAGTTGCACGCACTTCGGGAGCGTAGAGCTTCGGGAGCAGGTGCTGCAAGTCCTGTGGGCTCGAACACACTTAATTTAGCCTTAAGCCTTCAGCCATGAGTTATTGGCGTTGCTTCAGGAGCGCATTGAAGTCCTTGAGGATGAGCTTCGGCAGCTGGATGTGATGCCTGGGCCCTCAGGGCTGTCCTTGCGCGTGACGTGACTCTGCGTGAGTTCTCGAGCTCGCGCCTTGACAGACCCGTGGTTTCCGATAGCAAATCCCTGCCTGCCCGCCTCTTCCGAGCCGTGCGCTTCATTTCTGTTGGCAGATGTAGTGAATGTTGATTTCATGATTGCTATTGTAGCATTTAACAAGCTCGTGCTGCTTGAAGGATCCTGAAACTCAGCTCTGCAAGCGAGCTCACACAGTCGCAGAACGTGGACTTGCGGCCTTCGAAACCTGACACTCGCAGTTCCGAGGCCTCCAGATCACCTCCTGAGAGACATGCTCTCCAAGCATGTTGCTCGTGGTCTGAGCGATGCAGGCCCGCCTTTGGGCTTCTTTGCCGGGGGGCATAAGCGGGACTTCATGCCGGCCTTATCCGCTCCCAACGCGCCCTGCACGTTGCTGCTAGTGCTACATATACCGAATGCCACTCCTGCATCTGGGTAGCTGTGAAAAGCAATGGTCCCTTTGAGGAACCCCTTTAATATAGTAATTCTACTCTTCAAACGGCACTCCCAACAGAGACCCTAAATTGAACAACAACCCAGCTGGAATCTCCAGCCGATGATGGTGCTGGAAGTTGCCCCTACTGTTTCGACGCTCATCGAGATAAGGCCCAAGTGTGAAGGCCATGCGGCCATGCATTACGTGGCCAACACCACCTCACAGGGACTTGATTCCAAGATGAAGACCACACTGGGTTAGTTGTTCGACGAGCAGCAGTCCTTGTCGACTCTGGCCAGCGCTGGCCAGCTGGCGGAGAGAACGGACACATAGCCTTGTCTGATGTTTCCGGTCGCACGAGGGCCGACCTGTCCCGGCAAGTCGGCTTCCCATGGTGCTCGACAACCTAGCTCGTGTTTTTCGCTTTGCTTGCACGCAGCATCAACCCTTGCATCGGCAGCAGCCGGTTTAAGCAACCTCTTCCCAGTTGCGAAAGTCAAGAATGGGTCCCCATGGTGATCTGTGACGCTGCGTTCCACAAGCTCTCACAACTTCATCGGGAAAGGCTGAATTCTGTTTCATCCATCACGAGAAGTGTTTTCGGATCTGCTGCTAACATTGGTAAAGGTGGTCCGTGTAAGAGTCTCCTTGGCACGGAGGTTGCAACAGTCCAGAAAACCCTACTGGAGGCATAAACCTGAAGGATTAGGGTAACCCCTTGCAAGCCTCGCTGTTGCAGCACTACACGAGCCAGGTGGTGCCCTTTCGGCTGGGCTTTCCGCTGTTCTGGCGCCCAAGGGCCGCCCGGAAGCTTCGCCACTGGGAGGCCGGCGGCAAGAGGGGACACAAGACGTGGTCACTGTCGCAACGGTCCTACTCGTGTGAGCAAGCGTCATTTGCGACAAGCACGAGAAGCACAGCAGCAACGGCAATTCTGAATGGAGGACAGGACGCATGCCTGTTGGTTGGATCCAAGGTTGGCTTCAATGGGTCCTGTCATTCAGCACAGCCTTTTGTGCGTAAGCCTCTAAGGAGCCTCCAAGGCTCGCTTGGCCGGTGTTCTCGGTATTCTGCAGGTATCCATGGCACCGGCTCTCAAAGCCTCAAGGTAGGACACCCAACTTCCAGGTGAGTTTGAGGTCATCAGCGGGAGAGGCGCCATAGTGCGCAGTGGCGAATCCCTCCGCAGTGAGGCACTGCGGCAAGGGCCAGGTTGCAGGGGGGGATGATGTTCGGAAGTTCGGGGCTTGAGCTCAGCTCATGACTTTGCATCTGTTTTGCCATGATGAAGTGACGATGACGGTGCTGGTGGCGATGAGGAGGAAGAGCGGTGATGACGATGACAAGTGCAGGTGGTGACGATTTGTGTTTAGTGACTTGGATGGGGAATCGTTGCATTAGGGATCTTGCGACTTGCAACTCGCCGACATGAAAGCTTGAAGGCTGCCGGGGACCACTTAAAAAGCCGAGGTTGTTGGCGAGCTCGCCCCCGGGAGCCGCGTCAAGGTGCCGGGAGTACTGTGTGGACGCATGGTGCGAGTTCTGTTTCTCGGACATCCGAGGGCCGCCGGAAGCACCCTCATGGCCAAAAAAGGCACGCCCAGATCCTCACTGAGCCGACCGGCCATGGCAGGTCGTAGCGACTTCGCGAAAATATCCAAGGAGGGTGGAGACGCTTGGCGGCGATCAAACCAACGGCTCGTATGATCTCGTATGTGTGTTGTCTGTATGTCGGAAAATCGACGAGTCCGTCCTTCGCACCGAGGATCGTCCACGTCCCTGCAGAGGCCCCGGGAACTGAGGAGACTGCCAAGGCCGTCTGAGGACTGCATGTCCGCTAGTTAGGTTCAGAGGTTTGAAAAGAGGTCGGGGGTCGGTCTGATTGTAACTGCTTTGCAAGATGATCGACCCGGTACCTCTTTTCAGTCACAGGCACGAGGCCTCGTCGGCTGGATCAGCGCGTCCTCCAAGGACTTGGCGGCATGGTTTCGACTACAGTTTCGGGTGGCAGGATGCGTGATACAAGCCCGAGGTAGCTCGAGCAAAGTTGAAGCTACCTACGTAGTTTGTCCGTGCGTCGCTGCCTCGCTTTGTTTGTTGCTTGCTTGCTTGCTTGCTTGCTTGCTTGCTTGCATCGCTCTCCCTTTCTGTTCCGTAGCCATCACTCTATCACTCTCTTGCTTGTGCTGGGGCACTCTGTTTGGACCGCGGGAGGGGATGTGGCTGGCTGAGTATTTCCGCAATAACGGTCAATAGCGGTCAGCATTCTCGCAAACATGCCTCACCGTGTAACATGTTGCAAGCGATCATGCGGCTAGTAGCCTGAAGCAGCCGGTCCGTGTTGCAGGCACTGCAAAGTCTTCACAGCCCTGGAAGTCGGAGATGCCCTTAACTAGAGTGCTTTGACTGAGTAGTGAGTTGCAATCGATTCCGAATCGGATGAGCACTAGTAGCCGTCACTAGATTCAAGTCCCCGCTCCCAACTGAAGATCCTACATGGAACATGAGATTCTCATCCAAGGTCACGTTGCCAACTTGTAAAATTGTCAAGAGTTCCCCTAAGTTCTGTCGATGGAGCTATGGAGTCAGGAAAGCTTAGGAAACACCGGAACTCTACAAACTTCGAAGGACGGCCGTCTTCTGATTCGTGCCGTAGCGGAGGAGGCTCCTGAGGCTGGAGAACGTGGAGTGGTCTCGTGTCTGCTAGGGATGAACTACTGTAAGGGTCTGTGTCTCTTTGTCTTGCAAAGGGAGCAGTTCGGACACAGCACTGGGATTGGAAGCTTGATGTACAAAGAACTCGGGGATTGTGTGTGGCGTGGAGTTCTCGTTTCTGAGAAATGAGCTGGCATTCGGGTCAGGACTCCGGCATCTACTTTTTGTTGGTGTGGGTTTCGGAGTTGTCCAGTGAGGCACATATGTTGTTTTGGCCTCGGAATGTTTTCTCCCTCTTTCGCTCCCTCTTTTTTGTTTGTGCCCAAGCCCCGAACGAACTCCGTGTCGCTGACAGGCGGCGCAGGCACCTGCCGAGACACCGAAGGATGCGGGCAGCGTGACACTGTCGCAGCAGGCAGATGCAGACATGGGGATAGAAGGCTTTGCTTCCAGGTATCTCCACCCGTTTGCGGAGAAACTCCAGAAGCCCTTTAATCGCTTAGAGTAACTCCCTTGACTCGGATGCTCCGAACTTATGTGGCATGTGCCCGTGCAGGAGTGGGAGTGCTTAAACGAGGCCAATGCGAGCTCTGCGCAGCAGCTTCAGGAGAGCAGGGCATGCGCCATCAACAGTGTGTGACTGATCGATACACTGCCACTGCGAGTGTCAGTAATGCAACACTAGGCAACACGAAAGAGCGCAGATTCTGCACAATTAGGAGTTGTTTGGTTCTAGCGAGTTTTGATTCAGCTCAGTGAATTCTGAGACTTGCTCAAATCGACGCTCCAGTGTGATCATGTGTGATCCTTCGCATACCCGCTACCTGAACCTTCAGCTCCAGAGAGATAGGTAGAGTCCAACGTCATATCCGGTGCCAGGAGTTGTCCACCCAACTGAGCCGCATCGGTGCCTACCTTCTCCAGTCCTTCGAGATGCAGCCGCCTGGCCGGAACCAGCCATCCCCTTCTCGTTTGAAGTCTTGGCAAGAGCAGGTCTGCCTGAAGGTAAGCTGAAATCTGCCTGCAGATGCCAAGGTCAGTGCTGGCGCAGCAGCAGAAGATCGCCCTTGGGCTTGCATGTTCATGTTGCCCCGTCAAGCCCCTTTGACATAGAGGCAGGGTGGGCGAGGTACAGGCGGTAGTCTTTCTCTTTCGGCAAGGCGACGAATCATCAGCTGCTAAGAACTTCTGGAAATGTTCGTTGACACCACCACGCTCTTGGGCCTTACTGACACCACTGACACCTTCGGCATATCCTGGAGCCTAGGCAGGTCAGGAGCGCGAGCGGCGCTCCTCGGCCCGGGAGATGGCTGCCATGGCCGCCGAGGAGGCCTCTTTTGCCGAGACGAAAGAGGGCGCTTTTTGGGGCCTTCTCTTCCCTTGATGCAAGTTTTGGAGTCTTTTTTGGATTGTGGCTCTCTGGAATCTCACGTCTTGGGGAAGGCAGGCTCGCTGCACCCCTCCCATGCATGCGCTGAGGCGGCGCAGCGCCGGTTCGAAGCGCGCGCCGAGGTTGAGGCAGGGTTGGCGCTTTGGAGCTTAAGGGATTCATCGAGCAAGCACCACCACAACTTCTGCACCCAGGCTTCGAATCGTGCTTGACGAGCCTTAGGATTTCGGAACCAATGCTGCAGTTGTCGACAAATCCCTAATAAGGCAATAGACGAGGCGCAGTTTTATTGAAACGGATGTGCACCAGTTTCGGTACTGCCCAAGGGTCTGCACCTTCCGCATCATGCCCTTGCAAAGCTCCGGGCAGCATCGTCGTTCCTTCAAGCCAACTGTCTGAAAGAGAGCCTCGTTCGTCCAGGCACTTCAGGAGGAGTATGCGGCCCGTGAAGCCACCCTGGCCACTGCCGATGAGGAGGAAGCTGCCCCACGGATGCTATGAGAGGGTTTGTTTCTGCAGGCTCCAAGCACCGTCCTGCAACCACCCCTCGGCCCTCAGCAAAGGAAGAAGAGGAGGAAGAGGAGGCCGGGATGAGGGATTTTCAGATTCCAAGAGGACGGCTCAGCCATGGCCCAGTTGATGCGAGCTGAAGGCTTCAGGATCTCCTGAGGTCGCTGTCGAAGTGGTTCTGCCTACTCTGATTGGAGGAACCGAAAGCTAAACGTAGCACTCTTGGGCGGAGGCCTCTTAACGAAGGCGTGTGCGTGGTTTTCTCTCATTCGGTTAGCCTCCAGCTCGTCCTGTCGCCAGCCCGGCAGCCGTCGAACTTGCTCATCTCTTGAAGGTCTTGGGCCACTCACCAGGTTCTGCAGAAGCAGAGGAGGGCCAATGCAAAACGGCCTCAACAGTCTTGAGCATGAAGCTCCAGAAGCATGTTTGCTCATATGCCCATGTGGGCTGGAACAAAGCTTTGCAGCTCGATCAAGCGATTTCCTCGTGTGCGGAGGCACCTCCTCCCACCGCAGCACTGGCCGAGTCGCCCATCGGGGCCTCTGAAGCTTGGACTTCTGAATGGCCATTTCGAGAGGAAGCTTGTGTAGCTTGTGAACCTTTAGGATCTCACCGTTTTAGGGTTTGGAGGTCGCTGGGTTGCAACTTCACCTCTATTCGCCTCAAATCCACACCGCTTACCGAAGGCCTCGCAGCCCAAACCCCGCGAAAGTTGCGAAACTGAGGCCATCGACTGGGAGCGGCTGAGCTCGGAGCGTGAGACGACGGCGGCGGCGCTCTCCGCCGGACCCAAGAGAAGAGCCTGTAGCACATATAGAGTGACATAGAGTCATGAAGCTAACGGCAAAGGTTGCTGTCAGGAAGTAGTTGCAGGTCCTACAACGGTGCAGCCGAACTCGAAAGAGTCTTTCTGACACAAGCACGCTTGTTCTTCTTCCTTGACCCTGACAGCGTGAGCCACCACTAAAAACCTTGCGCGCGAAGGGCTGCATTCGAAAGGCGACGAAATTGGTAAACTAGCGTCTCCTCGACCGCGCAGGAATACAACGTCTAACGTCACTGCAAAGAGAGGTGGCAGAGCTCGAGCAGGTCCGAATCCAGGGCAGGGGTTTCGGTTTCCTCCTTGCTGGAAGCTGGGAGCCCGGAGACCCTGCAGGAGCAGCAGCGCCTGCACGCCGAGCCTGCAGACTTCGCGCCATTAAGGCCTTTTAACATGCGTCAAGCCACGAAGCTTTCGCGGGGATTGATGAAGGCTAGCGGCTAGCGGCTAGGCCTTAGCCCTAAGGCCAACTTGACACTTTCAAGCCATCAAGAGAGATTTTGGAAGGCAGCGACTGCGCTCGGCGTTGCGAGGAGCGACCAAGGTCCGGGACCCGGCAGAGCGACTGAGCCCACTGGGCCTTCGGGCCTGGGAAGCCCCCCGACTTCCTTTTGCCGTCTGCCTTTCGTGCATGCACGGGGGCTTCCAGTAATGGCAGAACGCAGAGCGAAGAGAGACGGAACTTCCGCGACTGGCCCTCAAAGCTGTACCATCGCTGCAAGGTGGAGTCCCCATGCAACAGCGAGATCCTCGACGCTTCAGAGGCAAGGGCATGTCCGACTAGGGGAGTGGGGGTTGTTGGGCTTCACTCGAGCTGCTTGGTTTGTTCCCTTCAAAGGTCTCAGAAGAATTCAATGCTTCAAGCTTTCCGGCCTTCTGGATCTTATACCACACGAGATTCGTCGTCGTTTTCCAAGGCTCGCGATTGAAATGCTGACATCATGTAGGAGGAGTTCGATGACGGCAAGTGCAAATGGCAAAGCCTAAGCCAGCATTGTCTGGTCCAATAGGAACCCTTTCTGTTGAAATCTTGGCGAGAGTCTGCTGAACCTCAACTGATTGCAGGGCCTGTTCCGTCATCGCCTGCGCGATCTGGCGCAACACGCGCGTGCGCTGCGGAGAGCATCCTGGCATGGTCCTTTTCTTTCTGTTTTTCTCTCTTTGCGGATACTTGAGATCGGGATGTTAAATGAACAAATCCAGTCCTTTGCCCAGGAGTTGCGACAAGCGCGAGAGGGCGAGCGGACTCTGCGCGGCTCCGTCGCAGCACGCAGCGATGCACTGCGAGGCACACGGAGCGACCCTAAGGGTTTGTGCTCTTAGCTTCAAGAAGTTGGGCTGCCATCAGAACACATCACCAAGTCAGCGGGATTGGTCCTAGGTGTGTGTTGGAAGCAGGATCTCTTGAGAGCACTCTCTGGCCAATCGGAGCCTGACCTTCTCGGTACTGGAGCCCCCTCCATCTTTGGTTCAGTAGTCTCCGGATGGGCCATGCCGCTGAAAAGCTACGATGTGCCCGACGGGCCGGTCCTCGGGTGAGGCCCATCGGGCCGTTGCCAGCATCTTCCAAAGGTCACTGTGGGCAGCCCAAAAAAAGCGGGGCGCAGTACACGAATGCTTCCTCGGACCGACCTCGCGAAGTCAGAGGCTGGGTGGAACTGTGGTCGGCTCGGGCCCGCAGCCAGAGGTTCGGCAACAGCCTGGAAGCAAGGAATTCCCTGAGTGCTCTGCGCAGTCAAGGACAGGAGGACAGGCCGGAGTTTCGGGTTGCGGGGCCCGTGTCCCCTCCTAATGTCGTCCGGGCCATGTGGCACGTCTCTTCAGTCCGGTTGTCCGGCGTACGCAGCGAGGGAGGTCAGACAGGAAGAGTTCTCGCAATGCGGAACACGTTTACAAGTTGAGCTACTTCAAACGAAGTCTTCTGAATCTGGGCTCGAGGGAAGGTCGCATCGCTCCTCTCACTCTGAGGCTTCGGACGGACAGGAGGGTAGAGGCTTTGTTTGATGTCCGCAAGCAAAACATCCCCCGTCCCGATCAAGACTATGCAGGGGCTTGATCGAGGGTCTCGCTTCAGGCAGAACACAGGCACCATCGCGGTCCTTTGGGGCAATGGACACTCAACAGCCGTAGGTCCGGATCGGACCGAATATCTGTGGGAGCACAGCGACCTGCTGTAGTAATCTAGTTTCTCCAAGAAGCCGATGACATCTACCATCTACATGCCCAGCCCCTGGAATCGGGCTCGGTAGTCGGTGAAAGACTTATGGTCTCAGCATCCCAGCTCTGCCCAGGTTTTTGGATTATTATCTCATCATGAAGAGCCAGTCTTTTTTTTCGCTATGCTGGAAGCTGCACCAGGGCTGCTGCATCGCCTCGCCTTGACTGGCTTGGAGTCAATTCCACAGCAACCGTGCTGCACCAAAGGGCCGAAGTTTTGAATTTCCGGGTTTGTTAATCCAGGCTCGGCACTGCTTTCAGCTATTGGGTGAATCCCTCACGAGACTTCTGAGCAGATAAGACGTTGCTGTCTGGAGCCTCCCCGTAGCTTAGGATCCAAGCCGCAATATGCACATTAGCCTTTTGCAGCTTCCACGCTCCTTCTGTCCCGACGTGCCAGCTGGAACGTGCACTTGAAGTCATGCAGCCGGCTAGTTATCAGAATCTGCAGATAAAGTTGAGCAGTCCATGCTCGAATCTGAAATCCTTACATGGTGTCCGCTTTGCATCGCAGGTGTGGTCCGGTGCGCCTCGCGCCCGACCCTGATGCCGAGAGAGCAGCGTTGCTAGCGGCAGTGCAGGCCACATAACTCGAGGGTTTCAGATTGCTCTTGTGAGGTTGTGTGGTTGTGTTGGGGAAAGGTGTCTGTGTCTGTGAGATGAGGTCGTGGCGAGTTGAACTAGTTAAGCATCACCGTAAGAGTGTTCATCGCACCAGCGGCCGTACGTGGCCTGTCGTAAACTCTTGAAGGATGGTTTACATTTGCTTCATTCTTGCAAGACCATGGCCTCAGCATTGGCTCACAGCCTGAAGGCAATCCTTCGTCATCGGACCTTCACATCGCACTAAAAATCCAAGGCCCAAAGCCTGCACCTAACGGCTCCTGCCCCTTTCAGCACCCTCACCATGCCAGGAACAGCTCCAGCAAAACTTGGAGCTGCAATCCTCCACATGCTCAGCGCCTTGAAAAAGTGCGAACCAGGGAAGCCTGGCTTAAATACCAAGTGCGGTGGTTCGTCTAGTTTGTTACTGCAGCAAGCGATGATGCTTGTCCGACAACGACTCTTACTGAGTCTCAATTTGTTGGGCATCGTCATACTGAACATGTTTACATCCAGAATCCACTTGGCTTCAACTGTGCTGAAGTGCTACAGCCGACGGCAGAAGCTCGAATCTGAGAGATCATACGTCTCTAACGATGCATCTCGAGCATGAGCGATGGAGATTTCTCGAAACACGAGTTTACAGGCTTTGGAATCCCAAGAGTTGTCGGGAAGGTTTCGAATAGTCTTAACCAGTGAATTCTAGCAATTTTCGAAGGGATTATATATTAAATTGACCTTTGGATTTTAGAGTTCTCGGAAATTTTACGAGTCCTCAACCGATACTAAAGGTATATTGTCTGATTATATAGAACTATTTTTTGATCCGATCACTTTGATAATTTTGGTATTATCTTCTCAGGAGATGATGATTAAAATAATTTTTTTTGAATTAAATTAGTATTTATTTACAAGAAATTCAAACATATTTTCTATTTTATTTTCATGAAAGGTTCTAGGATGATATATAAAATTTAAGATTTTTGATATTATTTGAGTATTTTTTTGTAAGATATTAATATAATTTATAATTATTTACTGAAATTTAATATTTTAAAATTTGAAAATAGTATAGATATAGATTTGCTTTAAATATGAAATTGTCTTGAAATAAATAAAAGTTTACTTTGTAAATTTTGAATTAATTTAATATTGAATATGATTAATTAATGATATGGAATTTAATTATATATATAAGATATTAATTAAATTAAATTGAATATAAATTTGGAAAGA